ATGTCACACATTCTATATACAAAGTAAACTATATACACAATGTCACACATTCTATATAGAAAGTACACTATATACACAATGTCACACATTCTATATAGAAAGTACACTATATACACAATTTCGTACATTCTATATACAAAGTACACTATATACACAATTTCGCACATTCTATATACAAAGTACACTATATACACAATTACGCACATTCTTTATACAAAGTACACTATATACACAATTTGCACATTCTATATACAAAGTACACTATATAAACAGTTTCGCACATTCTATATACAAAGTACACTATATACACAATGTCACACATTCTGTGCTACCTGTACTCTTTATATACACAATGTCACACATTCTATGTACAAAGTACACTATATAGACAATGTCACACATTCTATATACAAAGTACACTATATACACAATGTCACACATTCTATATACAAAGTACTCTATATAGACAATGTCACACATTCTATATACAAAGTAAACTATATACACAATGTCACACATTCTATATACAAAGGAAACTATATACACAATGTCACACACTATATACAAAGTACACTATATACACAATTTCGCACAATCTAATACAAAGTACACTATATACACAATTTCGCACATTCTATATACAAAGTACACAATATACACAATGTCCCATATTCTGTATACAAAGTACACTATATACACAATATTGCGCATTCTATATATAAAGTACACTATCTATAAAATGTCACACATTCTGTGCAACCTGTACTCTTTATATACACAATGTCTCACATTCTATATACAAAGTACACTATATACACAATGTTACTCATTCTATATAGAAAGTACACTATATACACAATGTTACTCATTCTATATAGAAAGTACACTATATACACAATTTCGCACATTCTATTTACAAAGTACACTATATACACAATTTCGCACATTCTATATACAAAGTACACAAGATACACAATTTCACACATTCTATATACAAAGTCCACTATATACACATTTTCGCACATTCTATATACAAAGTACACTATATACACAATTTCGCACATTCTATATACAAAGTACACAATATACACAATTTCGCACATTCTATATGCAAAGTACACTATATACACATTTTCGCACATTCTATATACAAAGTACACTATATACACAATTTCGCACATTCTATATACAAAGTACACTATATACACAATGTCACACATTCTATATACAAAGTACACTATATACAGAATTTCGCACATTCTATATACAAAGTACACTATATACACAATTTCGCACATTCTATATACAAAGTACACTATATACACAATTTCGCACATTCTTTATAGAAAGTACACTATATACACAATTTCGCACATTCTATATACAAAGTACACTATATACTCAATTTCGCACATTCTATATACAAAGTACACTATATACACAATGTCACACATTCTATATACCAAGTACACAATATACACAATGTCACACATTCTATATACAAAGTACACTATATACACAATTTCGCACATTCTATATGCAAAGTACACTATATACACAATTTCGCACATTCTATATACAAAGTACACTATATTCACAATTTCGCACATTCTATATACAAAGTACACTATATACACAATTTCGCACATTCTATATACAAAGAACACTATATACACAATGTCACACATTCTATATACAAAGTACACTATATACACAATGTCACACATTCTATATACAAAGTACACTATATACAAAATGTCACACATTCTGTGCAACCTGTACTCTTTATATACACAATGTCACACATTCTATATACAAAGTACACTATATACACAATGTCACACATTCTTATACAAAGTACACTATATACACAATGTCACACATTCTATATACAAAGTACACTATATACATAATTTCGCACATTCTATATACAAAGTACACCATATACTCAATTTCGCACATTCTATATACAAAGTAAAGAATATACACAATGTCGCACATTCTATTTACAAAGTACACTATATACACAATTTCACACATTCTATATACAAAGTAAAGAATATACACAATGTCGCACATTCTATTTACAAAGTACACTATATACACAATTTCACACATTCTATATACAAAGTACACTATAAACACAATGTCACACATTCTATATACAAAGTACACTATATACACAATGTCACACATTCTATATACAAAGTACATTATATACACAATTTCTTACATTCTATATACAAAGTACACTGTATACACAATTTCGCAAATTCTATATACAAAGTACACTATATACACAATGTCACACACTCTGTGCACCCTGTACTCTATATATATACACAATGTCTCACATTCTATATACAAAACACAGTATATATACAATGTCACACATTCTATATACAAAACACACTATATACACAATGTCACACATTCAGTGCAACCTGTACACTATATATACACAACGTCTCACATTCTATATACAAAGTACACTATATACACAATGTCACACATTCTGTGCAACCTGTACTCTTTATATACAAAATGTCACACATTCTATATACAAAGTACACTATATAGACAATGTCACACATTCTATATACAAAGTACACTATATACAGAATGTCACACATTCTATATACAAAGTACACAATATACACAATGTCACACATTCTACATACAAAGTACACGATATACACAATGTCACACATTCTACATACAAAGTACACAATATACACAATGTCACACATTCTATATACAAAGTACACAACATTCACAATGTCACACATTCTATATACAAAGTACACTATATACACAATGTCACACATTCTATATACAAAGTACACAACATTCACAATGTCACACATTCTATATACAAAGTACACAACATTCACAATGTCACACATTCTATATACAAAGTACACAACATTCACAATGTCACACATTCTATATACAAAGTACACAACATTCACAATGTCACACATTCTATATACAAAGTACACTATATACACAATGTCACACATTCTATATACAAAGTACACAACATTCACAATGTCACACATTCTATATACAAAGTACACAACATTCACAATGTCACACATTCTATATACAAAGTACACAACATTCACAATGTCACACATTCTATATACAAAGTACACAACATTCACAATGTCACACATTCTATATACAAAGTACACAACATTCACAATGTCACACATTCTGTGCACCCTGTAAACTATATACACAATGTCGCAATTCTATGAACCAATTACACAATAAAACGTCACACATTATATATATATATATATGTAATTATTTATATATATAGATATATATAGATATCTAACTATCTCTCTCTCTCTCTCTGTCTCTCTCTCTCTCTCTCTATATATATATGAAATACGCTATATGCATAATGTCACACATTCTATGCATCAAGTACACCAAACATTCGTCACACATTTTCTATACAAAGTACACAACATTCACAATGTCACATATTCTGTGCACCCTGTATACTAAATACACAATGTCACAATTCTATGAACCAATTACAATTGTGTTTGTGTATGTGTGTGTGTGTGTGTGTGTGTGTGTGTGTGTGTGTGTGTGTGGTTTAAACATGAGGAATTTCATTTCTATTTCTGAAACAAAACATTTATGACTCGCCCTTTCCCAAAAACACACACGCACGCACGCACGCACGCACGCACGCACACTTCTGATTATCTCCAAGTCATATATGGTCTGTGACAGTAAAGTTTTGGACATGGCGTATCAAGATTGAGTGCGCGTGGTACTCAGATTGTAATGCCGCATATAAGAGCATGAACGTATATGAATGTATGGGCGTGTGTCATTATGTGGTACAGATAGAGGGAGGATCACTGATGAGCACTGGTGATCACGTGCCCACGCTACGAAATGGCCCCCAAACAGGGGGATGGGCGGTCGACAGGCACAGGCGCGATATTAGCCGGATGGGGCGTTCGGCAAGTAGACAATTTTCATTTCCGACATCAAATGTGCAGATCTGATTTCTGAAGTCCCTTTATTGTTCTAGACGTATAGTGCTCATCCGTTTTCACTCGTACAAATCCTGAAACACAATATGATTCTAAAACGAATAAATCTTAAATCTTCATTAATAAAAGCGACAACATTTTTTAACATTTCATTAATCAAAAGAAACCCATAAGCTCCATAAATCCATAATAGTCCATTGTAAGATTCCGACTGTATCCTAAGCATGTGTTTATGAATCACCATCCAAAAGTGATGCTACTAGATAGATACATGTTCGCGAAACGGTGAGTGTATTCTTCCCCACCAATGGCATCCGTCATAAACACATGCAAGGGCAAGTCAAGTGTTAACATAAAAAACCATATACAAGTCAAAATAGGTAATTGCATCGGAACTGTTTTGTCACTGGTGCTTGAAATTTGGAAATGTCCTCCACGTGTCTGCCACAAAACATTTTGAAAGCTTTACTGAGGCCTTTAATGTTGTATCCCTAATCAAACAACCTTTGAGAAAGAGTCGTATGACGCTCTTTGATCTGAGAGGAAAGATCATGCTTAAAAACATGTTCTATTCAGACTTAATGTCTACAATGTAAATTATGAACACACAACTTTGGGAATATGTGTCTCTTCAATCATAACAGGTGTCTGTATGTCCTTAAGTATGTGCGTATACCCTTTATACACTTGTGTGTCGGTTGGAAATGACCCATTCTGTACATTTGTGGTCATGTATTAAATAATAACATCACGACGATTGGATAGTGGAAGAGTTAACTAAACCTTCAATATAAATATATCCAACACACTTGACATGTTTTATTCAAATTGAATTCAATTTCCGCCTGGGCTGTGCTACACTTCATTCGACTGTCTGACTCACTAATCACATCGTCTGCTTTTGTTTAACAGCAGACGACAATCGATCGAGCGAATCGTGAGCAAACGCGCCCCCTAACGGTGAAGCCATCGTGTCCGCTCGGCAAAGTGTCATTGTCGCAACGCTGTGCCCAAATAGCATTCCAAAGTGACGTCACGGATTTGACCTGCACAGTGTTGGCCTACATAGACGGGAGTTTTCCTTCGCCCGTGCCTCCAAGCGGATTTCTTGTGACAGTCGGCTCGCGCAAGGACCTTCTACGTGGATTTTACCACTGAGTTCAACCACTGTCTGCTCCTGCTGACCAGATCTTCAACCGACGAACATCACACAGGTAAGAGGGAGTCCCCTGGATCACACAGACGCACCCATGTGCTTGTCGAACCGGTTGCTGGTTTGAGTCGCAGTTGACCTTAAAATTCCGTGTCACAAGTCATTATTTTAAATATCCCAAATCGAAGATTCTGGATTATGATATGCAAAGTGTACTATCACTCAGTATTAAACATATATCACAATTTTCTTTTCATTCACAACATTAAATTAGATCTAGTTTACATTTTAGGGTAAATCATCCTGTTTGGTGTGTGACCGCAAATCGCATGTGGTTTGACAGCAGCCTGTCAAGTGAAACCCTGATATGGGAATACATTAACATTTGCGGGGTAAGGCTGGACCTCATCTATGAATTATGATCTATTAACCTTGTCTGTATGTGATGGGTCAGCAGTCTGGGTTGGGATTGTTCTGGAATCCTTCCACATTTATACAACATGATGTCATATGTGTTGCTCTTGTCGGGCTCGGCTAAACAACCGCTCCACTGGGCTGGGCACGGCATGAATTATTTCCATATTTGGATAACACGCTGTCGGGGCGAGAGTTTGTGTTGTTTTAGCATGTGCTGGTCATATGAAGACCCTGGGGACTGGTCAGAGGCTCGTAACCTGCTCGACACTGACAGTTTCAAACACAACATCCATGTTTGCCATGGTCGGACGGCTAAATCTGCCGGTATTTGCTGGTTTCCGTTTTCCCAGCGACTCTGAGTGGTGTATGGAAGCCGTTGCTGGTTGGGACTGGCGTGTGTGGGGATGTGAAGGGGAAGGAAACGATGTACAACAGCTGTGATATAGATGGTCAGTTTGGACACTGGCTAATGACAATGTGTAGAGGGGATTCGGGACTTTCATAAAATCAAATTTATATGACATTCTTGCAATTTTAATACTGATGGTTTTACGAATCTTTTTAATTAAAAGGAGGAGGGGATGTCTCCCGGGGCCCCATCTGGTTTCGTCTGTGGTCTCCATCTTCCGACATTATCAGTATTTGTCAGTAAACGTGTCGTCTGCTTGTGAAACTACACTGGGAACTGCTTACCCCAGCTCAATCTGTATCAGTCGGTTCAGTTTATAAAAGAAAAAAGTCTTGTCACGTTATTAGCATCACAGATGCAGTTTACCTGCGGGGTATCATAACAAAATATGAATACCCTTTGTTACAGAGTCTGATACTTGCTCTATTGACAAGTACAGACATACGTGAACTTTCAGACGATATGTTGAGGGTTCAGCCACAGTGATGTTGACTGAAGGTCTTCACAGCTGGCTATTTCATAACCCAGATCGTCAATACTGTATTATGGTAGTCAATATATTGATGCGTGTAACAAGATACTTCTTATTTACACTGACGGTAAACACGGGGCTGTATGCTCTAACATTACTAAAGGTATATGTACTATGTTGACATGCGCCAGTTCGCTCTCTTGTGTTATTTGAACAGTCTTCCCAACCGCTCCCAATTCAGAAAACCCATAACGACCGCCAGGTTAGACCCCTTCCCGAAGTATGATCATTAACCGTGACGTGATGTCAAGGTGACGCAAGTCCTAAGTGGTAGAACCACCTGCCTCATTCTGTAAATTGTAATCTAACTTCTATTAGATGTTCACCTTTGGTTCGTAGACCTTCAATGACGATATGATGAGCCTAATCGATGTAATATTACCAGTAACGTTGACATTCGCTATTAGTTCCGAGGCAAATGCACGTCGTTATATTTGTTTAACAACAATCAAATCTGCCCCTGAGGCAAGTACGTATATAGCTATGACGTACATGAATACATTCCAAGCCCGATATTACTGTGTCTAATCTTTCTAGGACTGAACCAGGATACCGAAATGTTATACTACATCAAATAAATTATAGAGAGAGAGCGAGCGCACAGTAAAGTTCTAACTCTAAGGCACAATATAGTAATAATTATAAGTGGAGTAAGATTGAACACGGTTTTAATTGCAATTGGCTAGCGCTTTCAACTCGTATTAACCTATAATATCCCCCTTTTAACTTAACTTATCACGTCGGTTGGGGCATAGTTTTTGAAGTGAACACTGAGTTGCAGTAAATATGTGCGGTATATGAATTTTTTTTTATCAACATATGATATTTTAAAATTGTGTATAGGACACACCCTTTACTAAATCAGCCAAGTGATGAAAGGAATGTCCTGGAATCAGGAAGACACTTTTCCGTGTGAAATATCTATATCCGTCCCATGCGTTCAGAAGTCGACGAGTTTCGTTATCAGTCAGTGAGCACTTGCGGCTCAAGTTGGGGAATGCTGGTTTGCGATAGTTTAGTGCCATTGTTTCCTGTATGGGGTTAGGACGCCATGGCGACCACCCGAAGAGTATCCTGAAGACCGGCAATAACACTACTGTGACATGCACGACTTAAACTGCATGGAGGCGTACAGTGTAGACAACGACTCCTTTGTGACTGATCCTGAATTGCTCAGGGTTGACGTAACTATCCAGATGACTTCCTCAATTCCTCCACTGCTATTATTCCGCCTACTACTACGTCTACTACTGCAACCACTACCACTACTACTACTACTACTACTACTACTATTAGCTACTACATGTACTACCTCTACTATTTCTGCAACTAGGGATGCTGCTCCTTGTACTACTTTTTCTACTACTACTACTACTGCTGCTGCTACTACTACTATTGCTACCACTACTACTTATACAACTACTTTTACTATTACTACTTTCACTACTACTACCACTACTAATAGTAGTACTGCTCCAACAACAACAACAACTACTACTACTACTACTATTGCTACCTCTACTACTTGTACAACTACTTTTACTATTACTACTTTCACTACTACTACCGCTACTAATAGTAGTAGGACTGCTACAACTACTACTACTACTACACTACCCTCTTTGACTACTACTACTTTCACTACTACTACCACTACTAATAGTAGTACTGCTCCAACAACAACAACAACTACTACTACTACTACTATTGCTACCTCTACTACTTGTACAACTACTTTTACTATTACTACTTTCACTACTACTACCGCTACTAATAGTAGTAGGACTGCTACAACTACTACTACTACTACACTACCCTCTTTGACTACTACTACTACTACTACTACTACTACTATTTCTCCGTCCCACAGACTCTCATTCCCAGTAGCTAGCCTCCAGGTGTATTGACTAACCATTACAGGGAAAATCTATAACTTTCATATCCCATTTCTGTGTCGATCTTAACGCCATCACGGTCGGGTTCATTAACTGCACGGATACATCCATTGCCATGTGCCGCGAGTTTTATTGAATACGCGTATAGCGTGGTTCGAGGTGTCTTCTCCCTTCATCACAGCCCTCGGGCTTCAGTTGACCTGTTTCTGGTAGGGGGTGGGTGGGGTGGGAGCATGCTCTCTCTCTCTCTCTCTCTCTCTCTCTCTCTCCTTCGCTCGTTGGTCAAAAGATCGGTCAGTGTAACCACGGGAATGCAACAAAGAAATATGACTATAATACTAATGTATCATTTGGGAAACAAACTAGTTAATGCGTTCTTCCTTCGCGCACCATATCCTGGTTCCATCCCCTACGGTGTACTGGTTATTGAATGTGACTGGTGGCTGCGACGGAGGTAGCTTGGGTTATGATCAAGAAAGATCATACTTATAACAATACTTAGAGTATCATCCAAAATAGCATCCCACCATGAGGGATTAATGCACAAACCTCTTCATTTGACCTTTTAGTAAAGTGTTTTCAAAGCTTAAATATCAATGACAAGAACAGGCTAAAAAGTATTGTTGATAATCTAGTTCGTATTTGTTGCACAATAAAGGCCTTTAATTCCAGATCCTGCACCTTTTTCCCAAACCCAATAAATGCAACAGAACACCGTAGGGTGTAACGTATACTGTCCTTGCTCCAGGTCATCCTGGGTCTCACATCATCCTGGGTCTTCACAGATAACAACCCTACTGTGTCGAAGTACGCATGCGTGACATTGATGCACAGAATGGCCCCTGTACAGATCGCACGCATAACGTGATGTGGTTTCATTTCCACTGCTATTTCCTCTGTGCCGGTTGACGAGCAATTTGAATTGAGTTGGCGAACGCATCTGCTGTATTTCCATTAAACAATGCCAGCCGTGTACAAAGCCGATTCCGATTTGAAAATTGGTTGGTCCCATTAGAGACAGTATATCTCTGTACACGATATCTCATCTGGGGAGGGAGCAATCTCCGAAATTGGATCACACCATATATACTACTTAAAAGAAGTTAAAGAACACCCGATTCCTCTACATTAATATAGTTAATATTTTATGCCATGACAGATTAACTAGAGTAATGTGAAAGGATCGGGCGTGCTTTAGCTTTTTAACTTTTTGTGAATAGAATTTGATCTTATATATTCGCAACCATTTCAATAAAAATTGTAACAGGTTTAGGAACGGAGTGAGTGGGTGAATGTTGTTTTTCGGCATAGATAATCCAGCTAAATAACTGCGATCTGTAACTAACCTAGTCTGAGAATGGTCCTGGGATTGTATTATATTGTTTTCACGACTAACCCCCCACCCCCCTCCCGATTTGTAGCTATGAAACATTTTGGTGACGCACTTCTTTTCCTGTGTCATTCTTTCATGACACCCCAGGGGAGGTGGGGTAGGGAAGCCTAGTGGTTGAAGCGCTCGCTCGTTACGCCGTTAACCCGGATTCGATTCGTAATATTGCTGAAATATTGCTAAAAGCGACATAAAAACCATACTCACTCATGACACCCCACCCAACCCCTTAATCTCACCGGCACTTCTCCCCAGTAATAAATGACCAGTCCCTAAGCATTAGGGCTTTTCCTTTATCAGTAAACTGTTATGCCGGACGTGAACGAGTGACGGTGTTTTAAGTTGTGGTCCGCAACACTGTCGCTATTCTCTGGTGGCATTGGACAGTGTACTGAAGCCCGAACCTTCTGGACTGGTG